ATGTCCATGCCTACTAGTTGTCCACAGACAGATGTAAAACATGCATAAAACCCACTACGCATAAGACAAACGGCAAAATGAATAGACCAAGCTCAATGTAAGAATTGCTCTCCATGACCCTTGGGGTCCCTTCCAAGTCTATGATTCTATGATTTTGTGTTTCTTGTATTGTACTTTTCTGTTGTGAATTGCCTTGAGATCAACTGAGGAAGGGCGGTATACAAGGTTAATAAATCAGCTTCAACAACATATGGTGAGGACAGGGTGCTGCACCATGCAGATAGGCCTTTGACCTGATCCAGTGCCTGGACTTTTTCTAAAGAGCCAGTGTGGTGTAGTGGTTAAGAGCGGTAGACTCGTAATCTGGTGAACTGGGTTCGCTTCCCCGCTCCTCCACATGCAGCTGCTGGGTGACCTTGGGCCAGTCACACTTCTCTGAAGTCTCTCAGTCTCACTCACCTCACAGAGTGTTTGTTGTGGGGGAGGAAGGGAAAGGAGAATGTTAGCCGCTTTGAGATTCCTTCGGGTAGTGATAAAGCGGGATATCAAATCCAAACTCCTCTTCTTCTTCTAAGGTTTTTGGCTAGTGTGAACTGGGCCCTAAAGACCTCTCTCTGGCAGGACATGAATGACCTTTCCCTTCCGCTCCCTCCCTCTTCCTGCAGGCCCTTATTTCAACCCTCGCTCCCGCCAGCGGATCCCGCGTGACCTCGCCATGTGCGTCACCCCCAGCGGCCAGTTCTACTGCTCCCATGTGCAACGCCGGCGCCAGCGAGGAGGCTGAGTTCCGGCAGCATCTGGAGAGCAAGCAGCACAAGAGCAAAGTCTCGGAGCAGCGCTACAAGAACGAGATGGAGAACCTGGGCTACGTACAATGAGGACGGCGATTCCCGCTGGCTCCATCCTTCCTCCCTCCCTCCCCTCCCGCCAACCCTGATGGAGGGAGCAACTTCTCTCGCCTGCCGCTTGGCCGTTCGCCCTGCTTTTTCTGCTCCGTGCCTTAGGAGTTCCGCTCTCCAGCGCTTTCTCTTTTTTCTCTCTCTCTGTGTTTTAAAGCACCTACAAGGCCAGCAGCGAAATAGGTGAAGCAAAAGGGTTTTTGCAAATTTCGCTGCCACTTGGCACACAAGGTATGCGCTGCAGGGTGCCAAGTTCTCCGTGTTGTGTTTGCTCAATTGCTAAGGCTCAACCTTGCCTACTTCCCCCTACCCCTAATCTCCCCTTTGCATGAGACTTGGCCTGGGAAGCACCGGAGCCACAAACAGGCAGGCGCAAGTTTCGCCCTTTTCTCTCTTCTTCTTTGTCTTCTTCTTCTTTGTTTTCGCCCTGCATTCCACTGCAGCTTCAGAAGGGGCAGTTTGGATGAGAGAAAAGCAAGCCACAGTGCCTGCGCCAGGAGTCCTAGCTCCATCGGCAGGCCAGAGCGCAATGGCAGAGTGCACCTCTTGCAAACAGGAGGTCCTGGCTTTGAACCTGTCACCTTCAGTTGCCATCAAAGGCTCTTGGGTACCAGGGCTGCGGGAAGACCTCTGCCCCAAAGGCCTGGGCGAGATGTCGCCGCTTAGAATTGCCAATACTGGCAGGATGAGCCTGTAGAGACACAGGTTGGTAGAAGACATCTTTGTCTGTTTACAAAGATTCTGCCGGTGGGCATAGAGAGGGAAAGCTAAAACTCTGCAGGGTAACTCGCTTAGAAGTAGATATGGGCCAGAGGTTTGTCTGTCCCCCTCCAAAGCTAGTAAAAACCTATTGTCCCCATGGCAATTCTGCCACCCTTTTCCTTTCATACCCATTGCCCTCCCCTCCTACAAAGTTTGGAACCAGCCATTTTTAAAAAGGGGGTTGGCGTTCCAGGTGCGTTATTATTATTTTTATTTTACAGCATCCACAATTCAAATATGCAAAATGAAGTATTGAATATCCCAGTTTCAGTTTATTGGGTTTACAAACCGTGAACATCAAATACAGTGCAGAGTTATCAAGACAATATTGTTGGGGAAAACGCCTGGGAAGGCACCCACCTTCCCAAGACCCGGGGCGTTTCTCTGATGGTCACTCTCTGGCTGTAAATCTTCCTCAGTCCAGAGAGACCGGTGATAAGCGACCCCTCCCTCCTGAGAGGAGCACGCTCGTCTTCTGGCATCTCATAGCAGAAGAGCCAGTGTGGTGTAGTGGTTAAGAGCAGTGGACTCGTAATCTGGTGAACCGGGTTCGCTTCCCCGCTCCTCCACATGCAGCTGCTGGGTGACCTTGGGCTAGTCACACTTCTTTGAATTCTCTCAGTCTCACCTCACAGAGTGTTAGTTGTGGGGGAGGAAGGGAAAGGAGAATGTTAGCCGCTTTGAGACTCATTCGGGTAGTGATAAAGCGGGATATCAAATCCAAGAAAGAGTCAATCAGTAGCTCTAAACTACTTTATTTTACAGTCTATATACAAAGAATACATCAGCATGTCTGTGCTCTCTCAGCCGCAGTACAGAACAGCATCGCACACAGAAGTGAAACTAAAACTTCCAACAGTATTGAGACTTCCTGTCTCACGCTCTCAGACACTCACATGATATAAACAACATAGTGCTACATACTGGAGCAGCACAGGTGGATAAAAATCCTAACAAATGTATTGGGGGCGGGGAGAGAAAGACAGACAATATGCATTCATGAAAATTGTGCCTTTTGAAAGGAGAATATAACAAAAGCCACAAGCAATCAGAAATTGTTAAAAATTCAGGCGATTTTTGACGTGGAAGTAATATGAATTTTAGCCATTCCACTTGCAGAAGTGGTGGTGTGTGTGTTTTGGAGCACACAATTCCAAACTCCCTGGCAGTGGATTGGGCTGGCCTCCCTAGCTTACATGTGACAAGAGGGCCCTAGTCATTTCAATACATTTAACACTGAAAGCCGTTTAAAGGTTCAGCATACTTTGAAAACACCTGGTGTCTTTTACTTTCCTTCATTTT